TAAACTCCAGGAAGCCCGATTTAGACTAGACATAAGAAAAAAGTTCTTTATGGTGCGTGTGTCCAGGGTCTGGAACAGTCTCCACCCAGAGGTGGTGCAAGCACCTACTCTGGACTCTTTAAAAAAACATCTGGATATTTTTCTTGCTGGGATCACTTGATCCCAGCTGACTTCCTGCCTATGGCAGGCTGGGGCTAGACTCAATGATTTCATGAGGTCCCTTCCAGTCCCTAATGTCTATGAAATCTATGAAAACAGGTGTCATCTGGAAGCAGAGTTAAAACTTCAGGAAGCTTGAAAACAACTTACACTGTTTTTTGACAAGTGCAAAGTCAACAAGCTGGTGCCCCCCTGAAATCCTAACGACAGTAAGCTGATTCTAGGGATATTTCCTGTCCCTCATCTGCAATTCTTTGCAAAGCCAGAGGCTTAGCAACCAGTCCTTGTCAGTCCTGCAGAAGAGATATTAGTCTCTGTTGCATCTTAAAGAGGTTTTAGTTTCAGTTTTGAAATATGGCAGGTTTCCTTCTTAGCATTGCGTAATTTTTTTTTAAACCAAATGTTAGAAAGGAATTTTCCCACATTTCACAGTCAAGGGAAGTGTAACAGCCCTTAAAACATGTGAGGACAACTGTTGATGCATATGTCACCCATTACTGTCAGCCTCAAACCTGACGGGTTTGGCTGCAAGGCTGTCATAGACATGGTAGTATGTATCTCGCCATGCCTGCCAGACTGCCTCAGTAACATGTACATCTTTGGAACTGAGTTCTACTTAGGTCTACAGCTTGTTTATTTAATATTTATGTTGCAGTAGCACCTACACACTGCCACATCAAGCACAGGGCCCCCTCATGCTAAATGCTATATAAATAGACAAGAAGAGACCATAGACAAGGAAAGAAAAATGGTCCTAGCTCAAAATAAAATCTTACAGATGATTCCCAGAGCTTACTTCCTCTCCACACAATTCCATCCCTCTGCCTTGTCTGTGTCTGTTGTGCCCTATGGACACTGAACCAATTACATGGTTAATTTTACCTTTTGTTTTAATTGAGCCCTTGTTGTCTTATTCCTCCCTGTACCTCTCTTTGAGAGTTGTTTCAATCTTTAATGCTTATTCAGCATTCACACAACCCTGGTTTCCACACATCTCTTTGCTGGAGGGATCTGCAGGTGTCAGGGACTCAGGAAGTATCTGAAGGTCTGCTCTCCTTGTCCTGCTCCTGTTATTCCTTTCTTGCATGGTGGGGGTCTGGAGTCTTATGAAGTCCGAGGAGGGTTGAGGGGTGGGAAGGATGTTGCCAGGCCTTGCCCATGCAATCTGATATTAAGACTTGAAAGCTGTCAGTGTGTCTGGGTGCTTAGTACTGTGCTGCTGGTTCTCCAGCTGTGCCCCCCACCCCCACTCCCTTTTTCCCTTCACTTGGAAGACAATTCTTTTGACACATCCTCTGGGGAAGGAAGCTTCTGGCCCCTTCCTACATGGTCTGGTAGGAGGGTGGCGGGGGGAGGGAATGAGGGTGAAGACTTCTGTATACAGCCATAGGGCAGGCAGGTTTGAAAATACAGGCTTAAGTCCTTTGGTAAGTATCAAACATATTAATGGAAGTTTAATACAAGGAATAGACTGACTTATTCTTTTGAAACTTGTTAAACAGCATTAATTAAAAACAAACAAACAAACAAACAAAAAACAACCACTCTGTCATCTTCCAGCAGGATGATCTTGTGGGATGGGGAAGATCTGGGTTCTATTCTTGGACCAGTCACAAATTTCCTGTGGCCCTGAAGGAGTCATTTATCCTCTGTGTGCTTCCCTTTCCTTATCTGTAAAATGGGGATAGTGACACTTACCTGCCTCATAGCTCACAAGGGGATTGTGGGGCTAAATTCACGAAAGCTTTTTGTGATGGGTAGATACTAAATAGAAGTAAAGGATGAATTATTTGTGTGTCAGAGGTGGCAGCACTCAGGGATGTAACTTCATGAAAGCCAGGTACAATGGTGCTAGTGTGGGCAGGTCCTCTACACAGTTTTCTCTAAGCATCCCTCACACCACAGCTGCAGTTAGCACTGTTCCAGCCCCCAGCATCTCTGTACTGAGGGCACATCATGGTACTGAGCTGCGTGGCACTGGGTGGAGTGGGGACAATGGTGGGTAGTTCTGACTTTCATCATATGAAAGATGTGAACCATCAGGCAGTGCAAGCCTGATCCTCACCCACTGCACTTCCTCCTGTCTGGTATTTTACCTCATGCTCAGGCATGCTATGAACCTTGCTGGGAGCTGCAGTGCACATTTTTATTACTTTTCTTACTTCTGTTTCAAACTCACTCTGTACAGTTCTGCCTACCCGTTAGCTGGGGTGCTCTACTTCTACTGCCCCAGGCTCCCAATAAAATTAATCTTAACACTGCACAGGGAGGGCAGTGGGTGGGTAACTCCTCAGGGTGCTAAAATGCCTGGAGGCTTTGGGTTGGTTTTCTCATTTAAGCATTTATTTTCCCCTCCAGGAATAGCATTCTTTGAATCTCTCAAATGGTGGCAGAAATAGTAACAGATGCCAGAGGTATGGTGTGTTCATGTAAACTGACATCAAATTAAACATATGTATACACACACACATATATAGATCTATCTAATATCTATCTGTCTATCTATCTGTAAAGGTTTTAAGGATACTGGTTTCTATTGTAAAGACATTAAGTTTCTAAGACCCAAGTAGACAAAGCCTTGGCTGGGATGATCTAGTTGGGGATGGTCCTGCTTTGAGCAGGGGGTTGGACTTGATGACCTCCAGAGGTCCCTTCCAACCCTAATTTTCCATGATCCTATGATTCACTAGGATTCTTTCAATAGCTGGTCATATGATTCCATCTAGCCCTGCCAAGGAAGGCAAGGCTGAGCTGGTACTCAGTATGTGGTGTCTTATTCACTTGAAGAAATGTATTAAATTGTTTTAAGCTTTAAAAAAAAACCCTATTATCAACAACAGCCTTAGAGGGAATCCTTAGACCAATGGTTCTCAATGGATTCCCCCTAAGGCTGTTGTTGATAATAGGTTTTTTTTTAAGCTTAAAACAATTTAATACATTTTTCAAGTGAATAACACACCATATACTGAGTACCAGCTCAACCTTGCCTTCCTTGGCAGTGCTAGATGGAGTCATATGACCAGCTACTGAAAGAATCCTAGTGAATCATAGGATCATAGAAAATTAGGGTTGGAAGGGACCTCAGGAAGTCATCTAGTTCAATCCCTTGCTCAAAGTAGGACCATCCCCAACTAGATCATCCCAGCCAAGGCTTTGTCTACTTGGGTCTTAGAAAATTAATGTCTTTACAATAGAAACCTGTGTTCTTAAAACCATTACAGATAGATGGATAAACAGATAGATATTAGATAGATCTATATGTGTGCGTGTATACATATGTTTAATCTGATGTCAGTTTACTTGAGGTACCCCTTGGAAAATGCCAGCTTTTCCATTACTCTCCTTTATTGGACTTTCTGTGTAGCTGGGTAAAAAGCTAGACACGCTCCCGAATGCAAGACTTTCTTCCTGCAGTCTTCATGCCAGCGCTTGCCCGACTGCTCCCAACCACCCAGCTGGTCCAATAAAAGAGCTGACCCTAAGAAAGTCTTGCCTCGGGCATCATTTCTGCACCATCACGGCTAGGACATCCCTCTTCCAGTCTGCGATTCTCCCTCTGTTTCTGAGGAGGAGGAGGAGGAGGACAGAGGACAGCACCAGAGGGGCTCATTCTTCCATTGCCAAGACTAGGTGAGGAGGACCCGGCGGGGCCGCTGCTTGGGACAGCGCGGGAGTCTCCGGGCGTCTCCGCGGCCCCCGCGGCGGCCCTGTCGGAGGATCCTGCGGGGCAGCGCGGGGTCTGCGGCCGCGACCAGCGCACTGGCTCGGGCATGTCCTCCCCCGGCGCGGCCGG